CCCCAGGGTGACCACTGGTCACTTTCAGCCACCCCAGGGTGACCACTGGTCACTTTCGGCCACCCCAGGGTGACCACTGGTCACTTTCGGCCACCCCAGGGTGACCACTGGTCACTTTCGGCCACCCCAGGGTGGCCACTGGTCACTTTCGGCCACCCCAGGGTGACCACTGGTCACTTTCAGCCCCCCCAGGGTGACCACTGGTCACTTTCAGCCACCCCAGGGTGACCACTGGTCACTTTCGGCCACCCCAGGGTGACCACTGGTCACTTTCGGCCACCCCAGGGTGACCACTGGTCACTTTCGGCCACCCCAGGGTGGCCACTGGTCACTTTCAGCCACCCCTGGCCCCCTCCCCGACACCTTTGGCCCGTCCCCAGTGGTCGCCACCCTCTGACCCCTCCCCCAGCCTTGACCTTTGACCCCTGAGTGTCCCCGCCTGGCCCCGCCCCCTTTCCCCTCTCAGCCAATAAAAACGCGCGGAATTGTTCCCGTGCTGTGGTCTGCAATTCTTGGGGGGAGGGGAGGGGTCGCTGGGGTCACTTCGGGGCAGCTTTGGGAATTTGGGGGAAATTCGGGAATTTTGGGGGGGATTTGGGGTGGGACTTGGGGGGAAAAATGGGGGTTTTGGGAATTGTGGGGGCTTTGGGGCCGTTCTCAGGGATTTGGGGGGATTTGGGGGAATTTTGGGGGGTTTTGGGCTCACTTTAAGGGACGACCATCGAGTTCTGGAGGCCTCGTGGCCAGAGCGGCTCCTCCGTGACCATAGAGAAACAAAGGGGCGTGGCCAGCGCGGCTCCCGCCGTTGCCATGGAAACACCGGAAACCGGACGTGGCCACACCCGGAAGTGCCAATGGAGCGGCCGGAGGGTAACGGGGAAAGGGCGGGAGACCCCAAAAACGCCCCAAAATTCCCCCAAATCACCCCCAAATCAGCGCAAATCGACCTCGGCCACCCAAAAACGGCTCCGGGATCCCAAAATGATCCAAAATCCACCCCGGGAGCTCCAGAATCGCCTCAGATTCCCCCAAAATCCTCCTTAAAATCCCCCGGATTCCCGAAATTCCCTCCAAATCCCGAAATCTTCCAAATCTCTCTTAGGATCCCTCGAACCCTCCGAGAATCCCCGTCAGAAATTCCCCAAAACTCAAAAAAAAAAAAAAAAAAAATCCCGAGAAAACCCCACAAAAAATAAAATTTAAAAAAAAATCCCGCCCAAAAAAATAAATTAAAAAAAAAATCCAAACAAATCACAGAAAAATCCCCCAAAAATCGCAGAAATTCCAACAAAAAGTTAAAAAAAACAAAAACAAACCCCCCAAATCCCCCAAACACTCGCGGATCCCCCTTTTTCATCCCCTCAGACCCCGATTTCCCCCCGCCATCCCGGTTTTTTCCCGTTTTTTCCCGGTTTTTCCCGCTTTTCCCGGTTTTTTCCCGTTTTTCCCGTTTTTCCCGTTTTTTCCCGATTTTCTCCCGTTTTCTCCCCAGCCCGGTGCCTCTGCCGGGGCTTCTGGGGCTCCCTGGAGGCCGCTCGGTACCGGGGGGGGCCCCGGGGGCGGCTCCGGAGCTGCGGGAGCGGCGCCCCCCGGGCCCGGCTGCAACGCGCGGCCGCGGTGAGAGAAACACGGGAATCCCGGGGGAGCGGGGACTGGGAATTTTGGGGAGTTCTTGGGAATTTTTGGGGGATTTTTTGGGGAATTTTTTGGGGATTTTTTGGGGATTTTTTGGGGAATTTTGGGGAATTTTTGGGGATTTTTTTGGGAATTTTTGGGAATTTTGGGGATTTTTTTGGGGATTTTTGGGAATTTTTTGGGA